TTGAACCCAAGGGTTTGAGGTTGCTGTGAGCAAGACTATTGCCATGGCATTCCAGTCTGAGCAACAGAGTGAGACTCTGTCTCAACAAAAAGGCAGGATTAGCCCAGTTAAACTGGTCACTTGATCATGTGGACATAGCCCATAAGCATGATTTCCTGTTTATGATAGTGTACTGTCTTTGACCTTGAATTTCCTATATCTGTGCTTGCCAAAAACTTGTAAGTCACCAAGCATAAGCAATGACTGCAGAGAGCAGACGAGCAACTAGATAGATTTCTCTTTGTTCAATGTTTTTACAAATCTAAAAAGGAACATGACCCTAATCGTTTTAGGAATAAGAACTTTCTTCCTTATCATGGAAGTCAGGAAAGATTGTAGGCAGTCTCCAGAAGAATTATTAGACTCCATCTGTCTGAGCTGAAGAAGAGACATGATATAGCAGATGTATGACCACTTCTGTGTAGTCTTCTTGTGCAATCTAATCTCCATGGTCCTCTTGGATTATTGTTTTTTAATCCATCATTATGCAATACCATGAAAATAAAAGAGAATTTGAAGTTTAGACTAAATCTATTAGGAAAAATGTCAATGCTAAGACTTAGAATGAGCATCAGAATTTAGCCTTTTTGATAATTTCCTAACTTATATCTCCATAAATTTGTGTTTAGTTTGCCAAAGATAATAGATTTTGCAGAGTCTGGCCCTCTAGTTAAGCTTTATTTTGTGTATGTGCTGGGGGGTGACAAGGCAGGAATAGGGAAAACTTCCTTTTTGATAATCTTCATAGGTAGCTTATGACAGATCCTTGAATACAAGAAAGCTTTGAAAGCTATTTGGGTAAATATTATGCCCTACCTAATCTATGGGGGAAGAGGGAAGCAGAAAGAAATGCAAAGCTCTTTGACATTCAGTGTAGACTGTGCCACTCCCAATATTTAATAGTGTTCAGGGCAATAAAAACAAGTTGGCATATAGCCAATTTGAGGAACCTAACTGAAGATAAAGATCTCCTAGAAACTGAATAGTGTAGAACTCTGAGAAAGAAACTTCTCTCCTTAACTATTTTATATGAACTAAGTTCCACATAAACTTATGCTTAATTTTTTAGTAGTAAGTTTCTAGACCAGCGATTCTCAACCTGTGGGTTGTGACCCCTTTGTAACAATGAAAATATACCCTGCATATCAGATATTTACATTACAATTCATAACAGTAGCAAAATTACAGTTATGAAGTAGCAACAAAAATAATTTTATGGTGGGGGGTCACCACAACATGAGAACTGTTATTGAAGGGTCACAGCAGGGAGGCGCCTGTAGCTCACAGGAGTAGAGCACCAGCCCCATATGCCGGAGATGGCAGGTTCAAACCCAGCTCTGGCCAAAAACTGCAAAAAAAAAAAAGGCAGGGGTCATGGCATTAGGAAGATTGAGAACCACTGTTCTAGAGTATTTCTAGATCTTTAAGTACCCAAGAAGTTTTCTGTGCTAGAAGGAGCTCTTAATGAACTATCCACATAAGTGTTGAAAGCCACTTTATGATTTCAGTGGGGAGACAGGAAAGGCAGAAAGGGACTTAAAAATGGTCTTGCTAGAATATTTTGTGGGAGAGAAACTAACAAACAAAAGCTATTATAATATTTTGATTAATGTCTTTTCCCACAGTTGACTGATTGGATTTTCTCTATTAAAATTTGTCAGGCACTTTGCTAGATGCTTTATGTATACATCTCATTTAATCCTCCCAGCAGCCCTCAATTTTTTTTTTCTTAGGACAGAGTCTCACTTTGACACCCTTGGAAGAGTGCTGTGGCATCATAGCTCACAGCAACCTCAAACTCTCTTGGGCTCAAGTGATCCTCTCATCTCAGCCTCTCTAGTAGCTGGGACTATCGACACCCACCACCATACCTGGCTATTTTTAGAGGCGGGGTCTCGCTCTTGCTTGAGCTCAAGCAATCCACCTGCCTCAGCCTCCCAGAGTACTGGGATTTACAGGCATGAGCCACTGCGCCCAGCCTTGTCCTCCAAGTTCTACAAGCTGAAAACCAGCTCTAGAAAGATTAGGTAAATTTCGTAGGTCATGTAATCAGATCGCCTTCCATATTCTTCGACAAGTATTTTCCAGTTATGTAGTTAAGTTCTGTCATTCCGTTATCTAATGTAAATGTGATTGTCTGGTATTTATTTCTCTTGAATTCTATTAAAGAAAACCAGCTTACCTGGATCAGCAAAAATGTGAATGAAAGTACAGTATGGTATTTCTAATCTTTTTACCTAGATATAAATTCAATGTGGCAAATAAAATATTGAAGGTAGATTTTATCAGAGATTGAAAGAAATCCTGGTCTGGTGTGGTGGCTCAGGCCCGTAATCCTAGCACTCTGGGAGGTCAAGGCAGAAGGATCACTTGAGCTCAGGAGTTTGAACCAGCCTGAGCAAGAGTGAGACCCTCATCGCCACTAAAAATAGAAAAATCAGCTGGATGTTGTGGCGGGCACATGTAGTCCAGCCATTCAGGAAGCTGAGGCAGGAAGATCACTTGAACCCAGGAATTTGAAGTTGCCGTGAGCTAGGCTGATGCCATGGCACTCTAGCCTAGGCAATAGAGTGAGACTCTGTCTCAAAAAAAAAAAAAAAGAAAGAAAGAAAGAAAAGAAAAGAAAATTAGGAATCCTAAGGGGTTTTGGTTGTTTTTCTGTTCTATCCCTGAGTTAAATATTCAGATTTTTTGGTTGATATTTGAAAATGAGGTAAAATCTGGTGGGATCTTTAAGAGGCATTTGGGTCATGAGGGATCTGCCCTCATGAATAAATTAACGTCCACTCTCAGGAGTTCCCACAAGATTGGCTTGTTACAAAGTGAGCTTAGCTATATCTCTTTGCACTTGCCCGCTTACCTTTCTGCATCTCTGCTAGACGCTGAGCAGATGCTGGCACCATGTCCTTTTCTTTATAAATGACCCAGCCTCAGGTATTCTATTATAACAATACTAAACAGACAAAAACAACATTCTTCTTTATAAATAATTCATAAATTTGATGGAATGACAGAATAATGATAAGAAGAAAAGTGAATAGCAGAGGTTTAAAACAAGAAGAGGAGTTTTAGCCTGGAACTAACATATGCACATAGATTGTCCTAAAATCAGAAACCCAGTGACTCGAGAAATACCATTTTACAACAGTTTTGCTGAAGTTTCATCTGTTACTCCTCGTTACTAACTTTTCTGAAAAGTTCCATTAATTTTAATTGCTTTACAAATCAAGAACCTCAATTCCATTCAAGTACAGTACAGCTACATTATGACCTTGAACCCAGTTCAAAGTGAGAGGGGAGCTCAATTGGAGAAAACACTTCTTAGAGAGCAAGTAGTTAAAGTTGGCTGTGGAGGCTGGGTGCCTGTACCTCAAGAGGCTGGGGCACCAGCCCACATACACCGGAGCTGGCGGGTTCAAATCCAGGCTGGGTCTGCCAAACAACAATGAGAACTACAACCAAAAGATGGCCGGGCATTGTGGTGGGCGCCTGTAGTCCCAGCTACTTGGGAGGCTGAGGCAAGAGAATCGCTTAAGCCCAAGAGTTTGAGGTTGCTATGAGCTGTGACGCCATGGCAGGGCGACAGCTTGAGACTCTGTCTCAAAAAAAAAAAAGTTGGCTATGGAGTTTAAGGAAACTTGAGTAAACCAAAGAACAGCACAGCTCATGATTTACCATGAAGTGAAACCACTCTCTTCACATTACAAATCAAGAGGGTAAATGTTATTGCTGTATCCCTGGATTTTGACTTATTCTTGCCTCACTACCCATTTTTATTCTGGAAGAAGCTAAGCTTGAGTTATCTTAGATTAAAACTATTGAAGGAAATAGACTAAAACCAATCAATGCCAGTTTATCTCCTGTAAGTGGAATTTCTAATCTAGAGAGATAGATTAGGTGTGTTAAATTTCTTTAGAAGATGAGTCATCCAAATGCAGATGGTGTATCACTGAAAAGTCAAATGGGAAGAGAAAAACATCACTTTTATTATGCTTTAATAATTTCTAAGATTTTCCTTTTTGCTGTCATTAAAGTCTGGTATATCCCTCTGGGATTTTTTTTTTTTTTAAAGATTATGGCTTTTAATGAGCATAAAGACTCTTTTTCCCCCAACTGTAGTTGATAGATACATAAAAAGAATCCACTAATTCCTCCCCCTCTGCACACACCCCAACTTCCTACTCTGGTACCCTACCTCCAGCTACAGCCGTTACTGCTCCTTGGTTTATATCCCAGACTGACTTTTGCAGTAAGGCAGTGAATACAAGGCTGAATATGCACTTGTCTGGACTTAATTTAATATAGAAGATTCAATTTATACCTTAATTTTCATGTCCTTCACTGTGACATCCTCATAGGACTTAAATTGTATCCAAAGTCTGAGCACACTACTAGCCTAGGGCCATAATAGACCTTTCTTCAAATTTAAATTAGTTGAAAGCTGGCTATCCTGTATGTGAAAATGTAATCTGAATATCCTGGGTAAATAGGATAGGGACCGCCATCCGAATGACATGAATTATCAGAAGTACTTGCTTTTTATCTACTGACATTTATGATTAGAAAGCCTTCAAGCAGTTAAATTTCATTAATGGCATCCATTTGTACAGTATTACAAATTGTTCCCTGCAACTCAACAAAGCTGTGTTTCTTTTCCTTATCTTATATATAAAGTTGAGCATATGTTAAGTATGTCTGTTAAAGGAACAATTCTGCAGAATAAGGAAGGGTTACGGGTCTAAAACCCTAAATGCAAATCCTTTCTACTACAGTCTCCAAAGGTGATCTGTACTAGCACAAATTACTTCTCTCTTCATCTGTAGATTATGAAAACTAATTCTGAGTAAAGATGCTAAGAGAGCATTAATTTATTGGATGGATTTCATATAGACAAAGTACTTACCAAGAAACAAGGTTTTTATATCCTTAAGTTATCATATGTAATTTCTTTCTCTTAAAAGAATCTTCTGCTGACATTCAACTTTACCTGGAAAAATGAATCATTCTCATCATCACATGACAACTACAGCCTCACACTCCCATGGTGGAGGAGACAGCAACATGATGATGATGGTGAGTACAACACAGGCCCTTTCTCACTCACTTGGGTAATAGAAATAATGGAGTTTTAAGCTAGGCATGGTGGCTCCTGACTGTAATCTCAGTAATTTGCGAAGCAGAGGTGAGAAGATCACTTGAGCCTGGAGTTTGAGACTAAGTTGGCCAACAGAGCAAAACCCTGTCTCTTAAAAAAAAAGTTCAAAGTTAACCTGCCGTGGTGGTACATGCCTGTAGTCCTAGCTTCATGGGAGGCTGAGGTGGGAAGATCACTTGAACACAGGATTTTGAGGTGACAATGGATCATGGCACTGCATGTCAGCCTGGGTGACACAGCCAGACCCTGTCTCTAAAAGAATGAATGGAATATGGAATTTTAGTATTAGAAGATTATTATCTTTAAAAATCAGTTTACCAAAAAAAAAAGAAGAAGAAGAAAATCATGGGGCGGTACCTGTGGCTCAGCTGGTAGGGTACTGGTCCCATATACAAAGGGTGGTGGGTTCAAACCCAGCCCTGGCCAAACTGCAACAATAAAATAGCTGGGTGTTGTGGCAGGCGCCTATAGTCAGGAGGCGAGGCAAGAGAATCACCTAAGCTTAGGAGTTGGAGGTTATTGTGAGCTGTGTGACACCACGACAGTATTCTATGGAGGGCAATAAAGTGAGACTCTGTCTCTTAAAAAAAAAAAAAAGAAAAAATCAGTTTACCAATGGAGGAAACTAAAGTGAGACTCTGTCTCTTAAAAAAAAAAAAAAGAAAAAATCAGTTTACCAATGGAGGAAACTAAAGTAGACCCAAATGAGTCAGGTGATTTGGGTAGGATCATACACCAAGTTATTTATATTCACACCAGAACCAGGATTCTAGGGTTTTTTCTTCTACAGCCCCTTCTTTTAAAATGACTCTTTTCTATATTAAGTTCTAGTCTTTTTTTTTTTTTGGAGACATCAAGTTTGAAGCTGTCACCCTGGGTAGAGTGCCGTGGCATCATAGCTCACAGCAACCTCCAACTTGGGTTCAAGTGATCCTCTTGCCTCAGTTTTTTCTATTTTTAGTAGCGACAGGGATCTTGATTTTGCTCAGGCTGGTCTCAAACTCGTGAGCTCAAGCAATCCACCCGCCTTGGCCTCCCAGAGTGCTAGGATTCCAGGTGTGAGCCACTGTGCCTGGCTGAGTTCTGGTCTTTATGCTTTGTGTAAAAAGGAGAAAAAGACAAAAATTGATGGGAGTCCAGGAGAACATCATGCTTGGTACTGTAGTAGTGATACTAAAGTGAAGGTGAAAGCCTTCCCCTTCAGTGAATATCTTTTCTTAGTATCCAGACCTGCGACTTTTAAATATTCTAAGCTTTTTTGCCTGAAATTCTCACTTAGGCTTTTCATTCATTTCTAATTGACTTTTGGTTTTCTGGCAGCCTATGACCTTCTACTTTGGCTTTAAAAATGTGGAACTATTGTTTTCCGGTTTGGTGATCAATACAGCTGGAGGTGAGTAGCCATCAAGTAGTATTTGAAGGTGACAGTCACGTGGGAGATAGTAACAAAGAATTTGGAAACCTTGCACCTCTTTCTGTTCTAGTTACTGAATCAATATGGACATGCTTGGTTCCATTTTCTACCCAGACAGTGAATACTTTTCTTGGTCCTCTGGTAAACCTCCCTTAAATAACATGTATGGTTGGAACTCTGAAAAATAATTATTTTTATTATTTTATTATAATAATAAAAAAATAAAGATACCAGATAGAAGTCTTTTGCAATCCATTTCCTTTCATCTTATTTCAAAGTATTCCCTTGTTTGATAAGTTATTGGTCTTAAACAAAACACTATAGTCAAGTTCAGATGCCACAAAATAACCCTAGGTTAAAAACTATTGATCTGGTACAATCCTTCTCTTTTATAGATAAATTGAGCCTCAAATTGTAAAATGGCTTGCCATCAGTCACAAAGAATTAGTATGCCGTAGGTAGGACCCAGACCTTCTAGAACTGCCTGGAACAGTCTACCAAACCATGGCCCACATCCTTCCCAATTCTTGGTGTGGCCCTCTTAGAGTCACTCCTAGTTTTAAGTTAACTGATTGCCCATCTCTTTGTGTCTATTATCCTGTATTGGTATACTTTAAATTCCAGTTGCATAAGCTCTAATAGCCAGTTGGACTGCTTTAGGTATCAGGCATATATTTAGAGTGACAAAGTTAGTTTTGAGAAAAAGGAGAGCATTTAGATAGGTAGTATGTTAAATTAGCAATTTGAATACATTTATGTTATTACCAATACTTCACAGTATGAAAGACTCAGAATTGAAATACCTATTCAAGAAATGTAGTCAACACTTAGCAAAACTAAGTTTTTTTAATCCCCCTTTTACCCTGTTCTACTTTGCTTCAACATAACAAAGCTAGTTAACTTCAAGTGGTCAGACCAAAATATTCTTGTTGTCCAGATGATTTTTCTTACCTTAATCAGAAAGTAAATATGTGTCTTTCTAGCTAGAGAGTGCATTGGCTATGATTTTGCATCTTTGACAGCACACTATTTTTTCTTCCTTATTTAGAAATGGCTGGAGCTTTTGTGGCAGTGTTTTTACTAGCAATGTTCTATGAAGGACTCAAGATAGCCCGAGAGAGACTGCTGCGTAAGTCACAAGTCAGCATTCGCTACAATTCCATGCCTGTCCCAGGACCAAATGGAACCATCCTTATGGAGACCCACAAAACTGTTGGGTAAGAAGATAGAACAGATCCAGATGAAATTCTAGAGAATTAAGAGTGATAGGAACTCTTCTGCAAATGTGAATGTTTGTTCTGAGTTACAAGTATTGGTCACCTTGGAAGAAGGTAAATAAGGAATCTGAATTTTAAAGTACTTGCCAAATAATAATGGACAAGTTAAGAAATTCAGGTCAAGGTATAAAAGAATGGCAGAATGCAATGGATTCCTTTCTATAAAGAGTTATACCTAGTTAGTTCTATCCTTATTTTGTTTACAATATAAGACTGTACAGATTTCTGTGTTCTAAGAAAATATTTGGATGATTATTGGTTTTTCCCATAGATAGGCAAATGCCTTTTGAGATTCAGTTTTAATTAAAATGTAGATCTCAAAACTAGATTGGACCTTAAGAAATCCTGTAGATTTCTTAGTATCCTGCTTTCAAACAAACAATATTATTTATTCCCATTGTTCTGATGAGCTTACTGAGGCTCCAAAAGATCATGACCTACCTGGGGATGAGTAGCCAGGTCTCCTGGTCCCTAATTAATTTGTGCTACACTACCCAATCCTCAATTCTACCTACATTTTCATGAAATGTGAATTTTGCAAAGGTATAAGCCCTAAAAATGCTCAGGTAAATAAGTCTGGGAGGGTTTAGGGCTTCTCTTTCTAGATTTGAGGAGATGATAAGTTGGGATTACTCCTTGTCTTTTCTCCTCCTCCTGAAGACGATTCCTCTTACTGGCACATAACCCTGTCTGGTCAGTGCTTATAAACCTGACAGCCCCATGGTGTTTTATTTCCAGGGACCAATAAACAATATACATACACACAAATACCCATCAAATTGCCAGGGTGGCTTCAAGGCAGTCCAGTTCCAGCTGAGCTTGTGGCTACAGCTGTTTCCCCTTTCTCCTAGTCTACAGAGTTCCTGGAGTCCCTAACTGTTATGTCCCTGTTTATTCTTCAGGCAGCAGATGCTGAGCTTTCCACACCTCCTGCAAACCGTGCTGCATATCATCCAGGTGGTCGTCAGCTACTTCCTCATGCTCATCTTCATGACCTACAATGGCTACCTCTGCATTGCCGTAGCAGCAGGGGCTGGTACAGGATACTTTCTCTTCAGCTGGAAGAAGGCAGTGGTAGTGGACATCACAGAGCATTGCCATTAATGTCAAACTCCATGGCGTGGCCTTACCGATTGCAGTGGGAAGCAGTTTGAGACTAGAAGATGTGATTCCTGCTCCAATCATCCCTTCTCCTGTTTCTTTACATACACACACACACCCCTGCTCAACAGAGTTTTAGTTTACAGACCCTGATCTAAAGTACCTCCCAAACTTGTCTCTAATAAGCTGAGAATCCCATTTTTCTTGAGGAAAAGCCACCCATGAGATGTCTTTTCCTTCCCCATTGTCCTAGATCTAAGTTATATGTTCTTATCTAATCCAGGTAGCTTTCTGTTCAATGGCTTGATCATCTACTTCCTTTTTTAATCTTCCAGATTATTTTTAACAGATGAATTCAGTGGGTTTTTTCTGGGATAGTAATGGTGATGATTAACTTCAGCCAGGATTAATGGCAGCTGAGGGAAATTCTTGCCCAACTCAACCCAGAACTAAAACTCAACATTAGAAAATAAGGTCCTGTCTTTGGACTCAATGAGTGGGAAATACATTGTGCCTTTCTTTGGGTGTGATGTGTTACACCAAAATCTTTGTTGTGTGCAGAGGGGTAGTTTGAGAAAATACAGACCTAGAGCTTGGAGCGTATGTGTTCTTGGACAGCTGACTCATCAACTTGTCTTCCTACTTAACATTTTGATTAGAATGAACTTGCCAGTCCAAAAAAAAAAGACAATCATTTGAGAAAATAGAAATAGGTATTTTAAAATAAAACCATTGGCATTTTACTTAGACTACCTTGGTTTGTCCCGGCTGAAAGAAGCAAAAGAGTTTGAATGATTTTTTCCCACTGTTGTTTTCACATGTCTGCCACTTGATAGTGATTTTCAAATTTCAGCATACATCTCAATCACCTAGTGGGCTAGTTAAAACACTAGATGCTGGACCTCAACCCCACAATCCCCAAACTGGCATTTCTAAGCTCCCAGGTAATGCTCCTGCTGATGGTCAAGAGACCACACTTTTGAGAATCTGTGCTTTAAATTAAGAAAGTAACAACTGGTAAAGTGGGTTCCCTGATATCAGGCATGGGAATTTGAATTGCTGATTGGTGGTTGGTATGTCTGGGCTTCACTCATAAATCCTGCTGATCAATACTTAATCATTCCACATTTATTGAGTTCCAACTGTGTATGTGTATACCCAAGCGCACAAGCGCAAAGGGCTGAGACCAAAGTATTTTCACTAGCCTGTCTGAAATCACTAGTCCTTATTTTTAAAGACCTGTGGTTTCTTGGAAGTAGTTTGAATGTTGAGAGAGACCTTTGATCTGCAGCATAAATTTACCAGGTATGGGCCAGAAGGGCAAAAGCCAAGCTTTCTCTTTGTAGAGGCTGAGGGTGTGGTTTGCTAACGGCCAGATTCTCCTCAGCCCCAACATCCATGCCCATACCTGACAGAGCCTCGTCCTCCACATGACCATTTTTTTGTTACTCTTGGGGGCTTCATTAGATCACAAGTGGCCAAAACCTCTTTTCTCCATGAAGAATCACATTGGATTTTTATTCTGTTCCGTTGTTAGTACACACAGCAGTCCAAGCTACCTCTGTAAAGTGATTCTTCCTTGCCGATCTGTTAAATCCTTCCATCCTTGGTGCTAGATCCAGTTGTGCCTCAGGGTGGAGGACACAAAACACTGCTATCCTGTTGGCCCAAGTCATGGTTTGGAAGTTTGTACTTTCTCCATGGATTCCAGTTAAATATTGGAAAGCGAGGAATGTGTACTTGTATGGCTTTGAACCAAGAGAGGGTTATGAGCCTACTGGTCAAGGTTAAAATCCAAGAACCAGCATTTGAGCTTTGTGCTTTTCTCTCATTTCATTCCTTTGCAATGATGATAACTTAGCATGAGCAGAGTGAATGACAGGTACTGACGAGAATTCAACATTAAGGTATAAATTGCCTGTTGTTGGCTTGGCACGGTGGCTCACACTTATAATCCCAGGACTATGAGAGGCTGAGGTAAGGAACATCACTTGAGGCCAGGAGTTTGAGACCAACCTGGCAAACATAGTGAGACCCCATTTTTACAAAAAAAAAAAATTTTTAAATAGCCTGTTGTCTCAGAAGTTGAGGAATAATAAAACCATGAGAAATAAATATGAATCAATGTTTAGTAGTGATTCTGGTGCTCTCTGGAAACCTCAGTGTGAACTGCTATAGAATACTCTTCCAGGAATAGAACCTTCTCAGTAAGATAAAATCAAGGTCAATTAAGACAAAATGCTATGAATTTGAAACTCACAGACAAAAACATCAGTTTGGGGCAGATCTTCGGGTATTCAGGATAGAGATCATTTCCAGAAAAACCTGAATTTCAGGGATTCTTAGACTAGATAACCAAGGATGAAGCAAGTGAAGGAGAAAAAAGCTAAAGCTTAAATTCCATCTTTCTTGAGCTCTTAGATTGTGATAATATAATGGTATCATTGACTTTCATTTCTGTATCCCTGCTCATTTGAAATTTAATGCTAGACCTCTTTGTTCCATTTAGATTCAAGCTTCTCCTTTCCTCCTCCCCTCTGTCAGAAGACTGTAGCCCCAACCCTTTTGGCTCTTGCTCTCCTGCCCTTTTCCTCTTTCTGTCTTTCATCTCACATGTCCAGTTGATTAAATCTCCCTCATCCTCCTGAAGCAGTGGGCATCGCTATACTCTAGATATAAGTACCAACCAGAATTTCCAGAAGTTGGTATTTATAAACTGGTTGAAGACCTTATGCAAGCTTCAAGAAGCATTTGCCCACTGGAATTTCTGGAAGGCTGAGCGAAGGGAGACCTAGTACCCTCTTCAGAGCTATAGCATCTTAGGGTCTTGTCTCCAGTGTATGATGTATAATAGAGGAACATTCAGTACCCCCATTGCCCACAAACAGGGAATCCTCACTGTGTGTCCCCCTAGGGGTTAGAAATTAAGGTTTCTTCACTACTTCTATGATAGGGTAGTCTGGAATTCCCTTTCAGGCTGTGGGTACTGGTCTTGGGTTCTAGTAACAAGGGATTCCTTAAAAGGAGCTGGGCAAAAGAACAGGGGTACACTTTCATGTCATTTAATTTTGATCCCTGCCCTCTCCAGCTGCTTCTTCACAAGATACATCTAAAAATACAAAGACTGCATTTGATGTAATGCCTTAATCATCAGGTCTATAATTAATGTTGACTATTTTAGATTGTAAGCTCCTGGAGAGCAGTATTGCTGTAGTAGGAATGTTTTAACAGTGTCATGTGCAGAACAAAATAAATATTTTGATTTTGTGA